CCTGATCTTAGCACGTCTCCGAGCCCTGCGCGCACGCGCGTCGCAGCTGAGCCCTGAGCAATGCTTTGCCGGCAGCGCCCCCTGCCGTCCAGATGGTCTCTCGGCCTTCCCGACCGGCTAACTTAAGACTGCTATGGCTGAGTCCACATCCCTATTCACTCTCCAGAACCCGGAGTTCCCTCTCCGCAGAAATGGACCATCTTTTCCCGGAAAACTAACTTCAAAGAAAACTAAGTCGTCAAGGGAATCTTAAAACCCAAGATGGGAAGTGGGAACGTCAGTGAGGGTGGTAAGTGCTTTTGGGAGGCTCTTCCAAGAGACCTTCCAAGGTCTCAGAGTGGCTCCTTTGTGGGTTCGCAGAGCATATCTGGACCTGCTCACCCTGGTGTCCATTGGCTATGAGCTCAGACTCCCAGGGCAGCCGACTCCACCACCAGAGACCCTCAGGGAAGAAGCCACTTTAAGAAATGCTGTAATTCACGTCCTGTTCATGAAGAATAGACAGGCATGCATTGGCCTGAGGTCAACCCAGCTCAAAGCAAAACTGAAGCTGCCCTCCATCCTCATAGTCATCAGGGCACCAGGCCAAGCTCCTGTCAGAGCTTGTGTGCCCTCAAGCTTATGAGTTCTGTCCGAGCCTGTGCACTCCAAGAGAAGATACCTGGGTAGGAAGTAGTCCCTCGGACAGGTTCCTGGCCCAGGTTTCCCTAGGGAAAACTTGGGAGTTTGTACACTGTTTGCATACACATCTTGAAGTTCGTTCCATTCCTGTTCATTCCAACAGGTACAAGGCTTCGACTCCAGGGACTATAAACTAGTGATTAATCCAAGCCAGATTAGGGTCTGTCATATTAGCACTCTCCAGCTACCATCTCAGGAAGGAAGACCCACCTGCTGGCCTCGGGGAATCCTGCCATGATCAACAGGTCCCCAGATCTGACACTGCAAGTTTATATGACAACCTGTCATACATGACATACTGTCACTGCTTGCACTGAACTGCTTTAAAGCCAAGCTCCGCTCTTAGGGTTCAGACAATGATGCCCTGAAAATACAGTGTTTAGAACATACTAAAAAGAAAAGTACTTGCTGCTCTGCAAGGACCTCGGCTCAGTTCCCCACACCCACATGGAGCAGCTTACCTCCTCCTGCAACTCCAGGGGGATCCAACACCCTCTTCCTGCCTCCTAAGCCACCTGCATGCATTTGGTGCACAAACAGACACTCGGGCATACACACATAGACGTAAAAGAAAAATAGATTTTCTTAGAATAAGCAAGGCTGGTGCCCATGCACCCAACCGTATGGAGGCTGGGATCCCCTTATACCTACACTAAGAGCAGACTTTAAAAAGGTGTCTGCTTCCCCCAGCCGGGGGTCTCATAGTTCCTTTCATGAAAGACACCAGAGGAACGTGACACAGGTAGATGGGCTGCCATTGCAGGCTATCTACGCCCTGGGCACTCTACATCCAAAATGGATCTTTTCACAAGCTCATTTCTGCCAGAGGGCCCTCCATCACCCTCACAAGCAAGCAAACACAACCCCACAACAAAATGTCTGCATCTCTCCTTCTCCCCCACCCTCTGCAGAAACAAAATGTGAACACTTATGAATGAGTGATACAAAGCTGGGACAGAATCACGTTCCTGGAAGTTCCTGCACACACACACACACACACACACACACACACACACACACACTGACCTTTTTTACACACTTGCTTCCTTAATCTTTCTTGGGTTTCTTCCAGGAAACCCTTTGTCCCCAAGTTGCCCTCCTCCCAGGGTCTTATCCTTACCCACCATGATGCAAATTATAAAGGCCAGATTAGGTTGGATGTTTCATGACACTTAAAAAGAATAGCTGATGCAAAGGGGCAAGCATCATTTGCAAGTTGATTAAAATAAAGGCTGGGATGAGAAACTAATAAAACTCTGAAGTAAGCTATTACACATGAATGGAACCACGGAGGAAGTCCTAGCATATATTTAAGCTTCTCCTAACAGGAATAAGCTACTACTGTGTATTTATTATTCACGACAATGGCTCCCACTGGCATTTTAAAGAATCTCTCCCCCAAACTAGAAATGAATTGAAATGTTTTCACATACACGAGGGGCATCTCAGCCATGCTCCAGAGACAAAGGAGTGGTACTGCCAACCTCCAGGCCCAGAGACACATAGAACCACCGCTACCTCCCTCAGAGGCTAGTCCTGCCTGCCAGGGCATTACTGCCACCTATTTCAGTATGCTTTTCTAAACCTTGGTTTTCCCATCTGTAATTGGAAGTAACCGAACCTGTGACAAAAATTAACATATTTGGAATAATGCCTGGCACAGACTGCTTGACGAATGCCATTTCTTTGAACCACTGCCAATCCTTAGGGCCAGCCAAGCAGAAGTCAATAAACATTTTGTCCAATATATATACCTACTAAAATGTCCCATAAGGTCAGGGTCTATGAGCCTCATTTGCCAGTGGCCCCTTAAAGGCAGCTCAGAGCCTAGCATGGCTAAAGGGATGACACCTTGAATTCTATACTTAAACACCCATCTCGAAAGGTTTAACTAATAAAATCCCCTGAGAACATATGCTACCCCAGGTCCCAGCCCTAGAAATTATAATGTAATCTATGGGTGGGACCAGAGCCCCGTGACTAAAGTACAGCCAGCACTGAGAAGCACAGATGCAGGCCCCCACGGAGCATTGGAGCATCTCCAGCGTGTGGGCATACACTTCAAACAGGAGCTCTAGCTTCCTAGCTGTCAACACACGATGCTGGGTTCATCTCGTGCATTATCCTAGGAAAATCAGAGGTCCTCATCCAACTTCAATTTTGTCATGTGAGCTGGGCCTGGTTTTGATGAGATACTCTGGGAAGTGAGAATCCAAACCACAAGCTCTCAGTGAGAGTAAAGAAAGTCACGTGCTCAATGGACTCCCCTATCTTCTAGGTGGACATTTCTGTCTCTACTTGTGGTGTTTTAAATGAGAAATGACCCCCATAGGTTCAGGCATTTGGACACTAGGTCCCCAGTTGGTGTCGCTGTCTAGAGAAGTTACAGGGAGGTGCAGCCTTGCTGGAGGAAGTAAGTAGCTGCTTCATACTTGCAGTTAAACATGTCTTCCCTTGGGCTGGAGAGGTGGCTCAGTGGTTAAGAGCACTGTCCTGCTCTTCCTTAGAGGTCCTGAGTTCAATTCCCAACAACCACAAGGTGGCTGATATACTAGAGGCTCACTTCCGGCACGTAGGTGTACATGCAAACAGAGCACTCCTATACATAAAATAAATAAATCTTTTTTTAAAAAAATATGTGTTTTCTCAAAAGGCAGTGGTGGCACACCCCTTTAATCCCAGCACTAAGGAGGTAGAGGCAGATGTATCTCTGAGTTTGAGGCCAGCCTTGCTACAGAGAGTTCCAGGACAGCCAGGGCTACAAAGAGAAACCCTGTCTCGAAAAACAACAAAGAAACAAAAAGATGTGCTCTATCATCTCCCTGCTCCAGCTGCCAGGCTGCTATGCCTCCCTGCCATGATGGCTCTTACTTCTCTAGGATTGTAAGCCAAAATAAACTTTCTTGGTTCTTGGTCATGGTGTTTTATCATGACTACAGGTAGCTAGTTAGTGCCCAGTGAGGGGTTAAGAAAGCAGCGGGGTCCTGAGAAACATCCCTAACTTATATAGCTAATTAGATGTTAGCAGGCTTGAGGTTATTGGAGACGGGCCTTTCTGCCATAATCAGCAGCTTGTAAGACCAGAAGGTGGAACTGCAGGACTCTGGTTAATACTCAAGAGATCTGAGTCATACCTGGCAGTGAATGTAAACTACCAGGCAGGTCACAAGATTTCCGTGCAGCTAGAGGCTTTCCTGCAAAGAACAGGACATATCGTTGTCCCTTTTCTAAGTAGCAACCCAAATGTTCCTGCTGTCCCCTAGGCAGGAAAATGGCCCCTCGGGGGAAGCTGACTGTCCTAAAGATGTTAGACAAAGCATAAGGCCTACCTAACGTGTAGATTGGGAGCAAGTCCCTAGGACTTGCTAGCAGCTTCCTCACTAACACAGAATTGGATGTCCTGTGCATGTAGGTGGCACAGTGGTGTAAGAATGGTGGCTGACTTCTCCAGGACTCAGCCTGGCAGGTTTTCTATGGTAGGAAAAGGTGCCCTTCCCTGCTTCCTTCTTTCAGCAACACCAGGGCTCATCAGACCAAGACCTGGCTTGTCTAAATTCAAAGCTTTCCACCTCCTGGAACCTCCCACACACCATCATGCTTTCCTCTCTTCTATGTCAAGACTTTGCCGGTCTTCCAAGGAATTTGGCCAACAGCTTCATTTGCCAAGTCCACGTAGTCTTCAGGCCTCTTCCGAAGAATTTCTGAATGCATGATCGTGGGTCTTAAGGCAGCCTCTACATCTCAGAGTGCCTGCAGGAAATGCAGAATCTCAGGTAGACACACACACACCCCAAACACGGTTCTGTCAGGCACTATTACTATTATTTAATGTGTGTATGTGTCATGTGTGTAAAAGAACATCAGATCCCCTGGAGCTGGAGATACAGGCGGTTGGAAGCCACCCAAAGCAGGTGCTGAGAACTAAACTTGGGTCCTTTGGAAGAGCAGCCAGCTCTCTAAAAATCTAAGCCATCTCTCACCACTGCTGAACTTCATCCCCTTTGCAGGGGTCAAGGTGGTACATGCCTATACTCACAGCTATTTGGAAGACTGAGACTGAGACAGGAGGATCTGAGTTCAGTTCTGGGCTGTAGTGCTAATCAGGTACCCACACGAAGTCAGTATCAATATGGTGACCTCCTCGGGAGCAGGGGGCCCCCAGGTTACCCTTTGCCTAAGGAGGGGTAAACTGGTCTAGGTCAGAAAGTTTATTCTTTTTGAACAGCAAGCACCTTATAAGAATGTTATTCCATAAAACACACAGGAGAAAAAAAAAATGAAACAAAAATTTAAAAAATAAACTCATATCATTGCACAGGTATGAATCAGTCATAGCTTTATTTAGAATAAAAAGCCTGAAACACACTGGTCTCAATAGATGAAATGCCAGTCAAAAGGAAGAAAGACACTGATTATTACCAAAATGGAAATACAAAATACTCTGTTGGGGTAAAAAGAAAAATTAAGCTTTATTCAAAGAAATACTGAAAATAAATGTTTTACAAATTGCAATCAAGTACTTAAAGTGTAATTTAGGAATGAATTCTCAGAAACTATACAATACATTCTGGTGTTGGCCAATACAAAGTTTACTTTAAACTAGTATTTTACATATGCTTAACCTTCAATCATCTTAACATTCATTGATTACAACGACTCATCTGCATGAGGTTAAGCAAGTTTCTTACGTAGTATCTCAGAAATAACTTCCAAATACAAACAGTCACACCAGCAAGGAACTTATAACAATGTATGTAAATTACTGCAGGGCTGGATTTGCAGGCTGTATGCAGATGGATCTGTTTCTCCTTAGAAGGTTCCCACACAGTCAAAACCTTAACAGAGAGATGCCACTCACTCTCGTTCTTCTGTCATCCAGCCAGCTGCAGGCTCCTGCTAAGTGTCACTCTACTGTGCATCAACTGAAATATATATATATATTCAAAAAAACTCCTTTTAAGAGAAAAGCCAGTTGAATCTGCCCATGTGAGCGGATTTTACAAGACCCCCTTCTGAAAATGGTTCCAGCGGCCAGTAAACAGTTCCTACTCTCAGAAGGACAAGATGGTCTTGTTAATGATTTCCACTGACTCCCGGATCTCATCCTCCTTGATCACAAGTGGTGGGGCAAGCCTGATGATATCGCCATGGGTCGGCTTGGCCAGAAGCCCATTATCTCGGAGTCGAAGACACACCTTCCAAGCATCACAATCTACAAAAAATGATCACAGTGTATGCTGAGATTAACGTATGAATACCCCTGTCACAGGCACAGGCAGCACAGCCTCAGGGAGTGTCCCTAGGGTCTGCTCAGGAAAAGAGCTCTAAGTTGCTACTGTGCTCAAGAGTCTGCCTTACTGACTTTTTGGCAAGAACAGAACTAGGTTTGAATGACATGTTTTGACTGTTACAGGCAGAGAACCCCTTCTGCAGTGCTTGGAGCCAGAAAGGCTCCTTCTAGACTCAGGAAAGTTGGCATATACAGAGGCGACATATCCACATAAACGCAAAACTCACATTTCACACTCATACGGCATACAGATAATTTCACACAAGATTCTTTATTTTTTCCCCTTTGGTTTTTCAAGACAAGGTTTCTCTGTGTAGCCCTGACTATTCTGGACTTGATTTTTAGACCAGGATATCCTCAAACTCAGAGATCCTTCTGCTTCTGCCTCCCAAGTGCTGGGATTAAAGGCATGTACCACATCTGGCTCACACAAGATTCTCAATGCACCTGTGTTTTGATTATGGCCTATTCCCTGGGGTCAAGTATGGGATTTTCTTCCTCTGGTAAGAAAATACAAATCAAAACCTTTCAGATTTGGGAAAATTTTAACTTCTCAGATTAGGGATGCCTAACATGTACCATAAGGAGCTAATGTGAGAGAACTTGGGTAGCAGACATAAAATGAAATAACAGAATAGGCAAATCCTCAAGTCCTAGAAGCACTACGCATTGCTGAGATGGGCACACCTCCTGAACATGCAGAACAAAGCATCATTTCCCAGCAGCGGTTCTCAACCTGGCTGCAGGCAGAACCGCCTAGAACTGCCAGAGTCTACCCTACTCCAAACCATCACCAGCAGTTCCTTTCTCAGAAGTTCCTCTGCTGGAATCACTACTTTAAAAGGAATTGGTTAGCCCAAGAAAACCCAGCAGGGTGCCCTGGAGGGTGATAACTGATATCAGACACACAATGAAACCTCAAGCTCCCATTGTTTATTATCAACATCAAAGCCAGTCCTTTTATTCCTACTGCTGCTACTTTGACCTCAGCAGTATGTACAACGTATTCCAGTGAAATGAAAAGATTAACAGAAAATAACCAAGAATTGCTAAGTGCTGCCAGACTAACAAGCAGAAAATGAAAACGTCTGCAAAGAATAAACACTTAGTCAAATAGCAAAACAGGCCTTCCTGTTTGGAAAGATCTACATTTAGGATAACATTAATACAATCCAGTCATACTTTTCTAAATGGCTTGCCTAATAGTCTAGTAAACTGCCCTAAACACTGTGTTTAATGTGCAGTGGCCATTACCTTTGGTTTCTCTGATGACAATGGCATTTAGCAGCCCTTTCCCTCTTACAGTAGTCACAACGTCAGAGGGCAGCTTCATGAGCTCCTTTCTCAAGATAGCACCCATCTTGTCCGCATTTTCAGCAAGATTCTCTTCTTCTAAAACCTGTTTTTAAAAAAATTATACAAATGAGTCCTGGAGCAATCCATGTAAGGCTGCAAGCAAAATGTACCCAAAATGAAACAGAGTGATGTCACCAGTGTTTGCTTTTCAGGGCCTATATTAATTTCTAGCTAAACAGATACAATCTCAGAGCTTTGCTTTAGTCACAATTCCATTGTCAGTCTTCATGGCAAAATGAAGATTAAAAATCACTTAATGCAACTTATAATATGCTGTTATTATCTGAATAACCAATGGACTAAGTATAATTTAGCTTTAAGCTGCTAGAATTGCCTTTTTTCTCCCCCTACCGTACTGTTCTACCTTAAGTCTACTTTCCTGGACTGGCTTCATGCTTGTGACTGTCCTGCCTCTCAGCTTCCCTACTGCCAAGATTTCATTTCTATCAATGTGGTAGGTACTAAGGAATCAAACCAGAGCCTTACTCTTCCACTAAACTAAGGCTGCCAGCCTGCAAATCACATCTGAAAGAACAAAAAGAAAGAACTCTGTGGTCACCTGTAACCCTAGTATTTGGGCAGCTACAGCAGGAGAATTTTGAGCTGTCTCGGTTGGGCTACGTGGTAAAGCCGATGTGTGAACTACATAGTGAAACACTGACTAAAGTAACAAACAGACAAACAAGAAAAAAAAAATCTTGCTCACTAAACTAAAGGGGCACAGTAGGTGGCCAGCAGGCAGGCGACACACTACAAACTCAAAAAGGCCAGGAGTTAGGAGTTCAGTCTATTAGACAAGGCAAAATATTACCTTACTTTTTAAGAATGCCTTGCCCCTAAAACCTTCTCTCTGTACTCCCTGTTCTCTAACACTTGGCAATCTTATTAAACTTATTATGCCAGGACTCAAAAATAACTTCAACACTACTTAAAGTAGGTATCTATGAGCCATATCCATTTTCACCTCAAGAGCTGCAATGGCAATTCGGCAGCCTAGTGGATTGCCACCATATGTGGAACCATGCTCGCCTGGTTTAATGGTCAGCATTATCTCATCATCACACAGCACTGCAGACACCTGAAAGACAGAATCCATTGTGTCATTCCTCATATTCTCAGCACACCAGGGACACAGATACTTCTATAACCCTTCAACTAAAAGTTTACAACTGTCCCCTGACTCTCAATAATAACCCATGATGAACCCAACACATTACAAATATAGTAAACGCACTTCAATGGCACAAAAAATTTGGTATACACTTTCAGAACTAAAAGAAAAAAACTTTTTTAATTATTATTTTATGTGTGTAAGGTGTTTTGTCCACATGTATGTCTATGCCCCATTTGTTTGAAGTGTCCATGGAAGCCAGAAGAGGGTATTGGATCCCCTAGAAGTACTGGAGTTACAGATGGTTGTGACCTGCAATATAGGAGCTGGGAACTGAACCTAGGTCCTTTGGAAGAGCAGCAAGTGCTCTTCACCACTGAGGCATCTCTGCAGCCCAAGCAAAGCTGTTTTTGCAACAAGACAATTACAGTTCTTTCCAAAATGCTCTGCTTAGAAAACAAGCATGGGCATTCTGTGCAAGAAGACAATTCAGTCTAATCAAAGCCTTTTATCCCACATCAATTACTAGCTCTGGATGCAACCCAAAAAAAGAACAAAATGCCCCCATCTTTATGCTCCTTGGTCATGGTTTTGAACAATTAGTGATGCCAGGCTCTGAAAAGTGAGAGGAGAAACTTCTGAGGGGAAATGCATCTGTCCAAATCAAATGCCACAGCACATACCAAGGCACAACCACTGGTCAACACTAACCATGGACCGACCACACAATGGATGTCTAAAGTATTCCAGGTGGCCTATATCACACAGGGCCAAATCAAGCCACCCAAAAAGCATCCCAGTCACAGTCAGCAGAAGAGGAAACATAAATAAAGGAACACTGAACTTACAGGGTATAAGCCCCCTGAAAGGGCCTTCCCAAGAAGAACTATGTCAGGTCTGACATTGTCGTGATCCACAGCCAGCCATCTACCAGTTCTGGCCAATCCCGTCTGTATTTCATCAGCAATAAGCAGGACCTGGGAGAGACAACAGGTAACACAACTGTCACTCGCACTTCTTAAGGAAATAAAGAGTATCGTTACTTCAATCTTCTCACTAAGCATCATTTCTGATAACCTGTGATGTTTTCAGTACCCACACAATTCAATGGTGTCCTATAGAAATCTGCTTCCTCTGTCAGTCCAATACCTCCCAGTGGCCCATGTGGCACTGCTCTGCATAGCAGAAAGGCACTTAAGCAAACATTAAGACTTTGTAGAGCTTTAATGGTTCTAATTACACTCTAAGAGCAAATTCACATAATTAATGCATATACAATTACCAAATATTTTCTGGAATTCTAAGTAGTAAGCAAAATATACTATTAGCTTTGATGGAAAAAAAGGGAGAGAGCCATAACATTTGGAGCAAAGGGACAGACACAAGACAGATTTGGGAGGGATTAAAAGAGTGTAAGTTTCTTGGAGAAGGGAGGAGAAAGCCATAGTAAGAGCCTTGAGGTCTGGTCTGCAGCATCACACAGCATCTAGAAACTGTTCCAGAGTGTTCTAGAGACTGAAATGTTAGCCTCCATAGAGGGTTCTAAGTATTAGACTGTTCCTTAACTCTTGGAACTCATCTAGTGGGAAGTGAGATAATCATTTATCCTGTCAGGAAACTTCAAATACATTTGGCCTCACTGCAAAGTGAACAGGACCACCTGGTGCCTGGTGCAGAGTTCTCGAACTCCCGTCAGGTATCCTGGATCTGGAACAATAATACCTGCTTCACCCTGGATGGGTTCCACCATGAAGGCAGCAACATTTGGGTCCTGAAGAGCACGCTACAAAGGAAACAGAAGGAAGTGACTTTTAATATCTCCATTCTACCTTATCTGGCAACTGAAATCAAACACTACACATGCTTCCTGTTAGGAATAATTATGAGAGACTGAAGAGATGGCTTAGCAGTTTGGAACAGTTGTTGCCTTTCCAAAGGATCTGGGTTTAACTCCTAGCACCCATACGGTGGTTCACAACCACCACAACTCCAGTTTCAGTGGCACCAAGCACATATACATGCAGGCAAAATACTCAAAGTAAAAAAAATACATCTAAGAAAACAATGGGGCGGGGGGAGATGATGATGATGAACCTAAGCATGTATCTATGCTTGTAATTGCAGGACTCTAGCATGCTGGGTTTACTGGCATATACCATTATGCCAGATTATTCCTATATTTTGCTAACACATAGATATATTATAAGTAAAACCTAAGTCTAGAGCTGGAAAGATGGTTCAGCAGTTAAGGGCACTGGCTGATCTTACAGAGAACACAGGTTCCATTTTCAGCACCCACACAAGGGCTAACAACTGTCTTTAGGTCCAGTTCTACAATTTACAAGTCTCAAAAACAATTTTTTTTTAGCCAGAATGATGAAGCGTGTCTTTTAATCTCAGCACATGTGAGGCAGAGCCAGGCAGATCTTTGAGTTCAAGACCAGCCTGGTCTACATACTGTGTTCCAGGCCAGCCAAAGCTTCAAAAAGAGAAGAAAAAAAGAAGAATGAAAAGAGAAAGAAAATAGACTATCTCAAAAGAAAAAGAGAGAGAGAGAGAAATATTTTGTAGTATTAAGTGGCCAATATTCAAGTTCTTATGATCTGAATAGTCAGCTGGCCTAAGTACTACATGACAAAAGCAGATTTCCCTGGGTTAGAAACTAACTGCCTACGACTGAGAATAAGACTGAGATTTCAAGCTGGTCATGGTGGCGCACACCTTTAATCCCAGCACTCTGGAAGACAGAGAGAGGTGTATCTCTGTGAGCCTTGATATACAAAGTGAGCCCAGGAAGCCAAGGCTATACAAAGAAACCCTGTCTTGAGAAGAAAAAAAATAAATAAATAAAACAAAGACAGATTTCATCCTAACTTTAGAAGAATTTTCACAGATTCATAACTTTTGTTTGTTCTGTAGTACTGGGGTTGAACCCAAGACCTCACACACTGCTGTTTTACCACTGAGCAACCTACCCTATTACTTTAAGTTTTTTACTGAGCCTGAGTGTTTGCCTGTTACGTAAGTATGTATCTGCACCACACGCATGCTTGTTGCCCAAGGTGGCCAGTGTTAGATCCATGGCACTGATAATACAGGAGGTTATGAATGACCAGATATAGGTGCAAGGAACTGAACGGAGGCTTCTGCAATAGCAGTATGTGATCTTAACCCCTGAGACACCTCTCCAGCCCACTCATTAATATATTTTTAACTCACATTCTGAACAGGTAATAATTCAAAATCATTTATAGCTGCTATGAGCCTAGTACCACAGACACCCTGATGTACCTCCAACGCAGGCAGATCGTTATATGGGATAATTTCAAAGCCTGGCATGAAGGGTCCAAAGCCATCGTAACTGGTCGGATCTGTGGAGCTGGAGATTGCAGACAACGTTCGACCCCAAAAGTTTCCAGCTATACGGAAAAACAAACAGTGATTATTCCAAAGAAATCCACCAGTTTGGTAAGTACTACTACCCTACAAACACTTTGGGAACCTGACTAAAAATAATAAATAATGGGTCATTTAGCTTTTAGTTAGTGAGCTTTCAATTATTCAAACAAAATCTGATACTGATTCCAACAGTTCCCATTGACAACAGGCCAATAGTCTTCTTGTAATTACTGTTTTAGACACAGCTCTACAGTACTCTTCTCAGACCCACTCCAAATGAAGCCCAACAACTGAGGCATTCTCAAAGCAAGGTTTCTAGACAGAGAATGCACACTTACAGTAGAAATGTGAGAAAGAGAGTTATCCAGTGAAGAGATTAGCAGTTTCCTTTGATACCCCAGTATGTAAGCTACCTACTCAACAGGACACATTTCCAAATTCACTTACAGCGGAGATCCTTTCCAGTCCAAACACTTTCCATGTTGCCTTCCTTGATATTACAATCTTCTGTAACACTAAATGAAACAGACATCTGCCTTTCCTCAAGATCATGTTTTTTCTATTAATAAATGTGCCTGGGAGCCACTGGAGGCCAGGGACCACTTCAGGATAGGAAATGGGCAGCATGGACAGCCTGGGAGTCGCCTGTCCTCAGAGCTTCTACTCTAGTAGAAAGCAAACATCCTAACATCAGCCAGCAGAGCAAACAACTGCATCATTTCAGATGGAGTTAAACTCAACCACGAACACTATAGCAGAGAATGGGAATTCATCACACTAGGATGTTTTAACATCTCCCACCAGCTTTGCCAGCAGCAACTCAATGAACTCAATGTACCAGGTGGTTGTAGCTTAGCTTCTTGGCATCTCTTGGCATTACTCTTGCAAAAGCCTGTCTTTTTCTGAGTCTCTGACTCATGAGTCAGCCCATCTTTTTAAAACCCACATACAGGGCATATTCTTTAAGATAATATGCACTGATGAGACCAGGAGCCAACCTGTTCTGCTCTCCCTATTTCAACCTGTAGCTTACCCTGCAGGGATAGGATAGTCTTTCACTGTCATTCCACTGACTCAACAGCCTCTGTCAATACAATGTAAAAATATCTTTGTACACTTCACTAGTATGAAAGAGACTGGACAATCTATAAAAGAAGTTATATTTTGTTCATAATGGCCAGCCAGGATACCTACACTAAAGCAAACATTTTCAAATGGTAAGTTATAGGCAGTCGCTTATGAAGCCAAGCTATACTGCTGGGTTAAGCCACCTGCTTTTCTGAATTACTCAGAAAAGTAGAACCTTTCCCATTTCTTCTTTTCTGTCTCTGGAAACTGGCACGAGCCAAATTATATTTTCTCTGGTACATTAGGCTTTTTCACACTTTGGTGAAGCCCTCCTCTCAGCCACATAACTGCTCATTTGCCATGTGGCTGACCTGCATGCCAGCTTAACACAAACAGCAAGGTTTCCCATCTTCCTCTTCTGTGTCCCTCTTCTGGATAGCTGCAGGATTTACAGCTTGTTAAGCCTATACCCTTAAGCTTTAAAAACAAAATGGTACGTTAGAGAATCATATAACATTTCTTCAGATCATAATCTGTTACCTAAGATACCAATTGCCTCTGGCCATAACTTAATTATGCTATCAGACTGAAATTAACTATATGTATTCACCAGAAAAAAAAAAAAAAAAAGAATGGAATTTGACCACAAAATCAATACATGCTATTTTTAACTAAAATCAAAACTTTAAAGTTAGAACCTACCATTTGAATATCCCACAAAAAAATTATTAAAGTCAATTACATCAGCCCAACAAACTGTATACCTCCTTAACGTGAAACTCAAAGCATTCCTCCTCAGTCATTCTCAGAAATATAACAAGCCAGCTTCAAGCCTCCTGTTCCTGATAGCTTCTAAGAACACAACACAAGGGCACATTCAATATTAGGGCTAAAATCCTGGCCAAAAGCCAGGCATGGTGGTGCATGCCTTTAATCTCAGCACTTGAGAGGTAATAGCAGACAGATCTCCACGAATTTGAAGCCAGTCTGGCAGTGAGTTCCAGAAAAGCCAAGGCTACACAATAAAACCTTGTCTCAAAAACCAACAAAAATGCTGGCCAGACATTCAATGATAGAATGCTTATATAGAACATACAAAGCCCTGCATTCAAACTTAGCACCGGAAAAGAAAAGTAAATAGAAAACAGCTATGAGGAAAATCTGGTAAGATGAGACATTCAATCAAATAGTTACTTACTTCAAGAAAGGAGGATTTAGACAGAAAAATCTCGAGCTAGGGGTGTGACTCTGGAGTAGAGCACTAGACTGTCAACCATCAGACCTTGTATTCATTCCACAGAATCACAAATAGAAAATCTCACACAAGAAGAAATCTAAGAAGGAATTTCCCCATCAGCCTTTATAAAACAGTCCATAAATAACATATCATATAAATGATACCATGTATTAACACTTTAACAATTAAATTAACATACCAGCAAAAATAATCTTTGCTTTGTATTTCTGGATGCCTTTCACCGTGTAGCCCCAACGACGAGCAAGCTTACAGGCAGTCTCTCCAGCCTCCACACCTATTGTAGGAAAAATACTCAGATTTTATTTATGCTGCAAATTATCAAAGAAATAAGCTTAGCATGTGGTACACAACTTAATCCCAATTACTTGAGAGACTAAGGTAGGAAAATTGTAAATTCAGGGCCAGGCTAGGCTAAATAATTAAATAAAGAAACAAATGATTGACTTGTTGGGAACTGGAAAAAAAAAAAAATGGGAATGCTTTACCTGTATTCATAGGAAGGACTTTGTTGTAGTTGAAAAGCTTGGTAATATACTCCTCAAATTCACCGAGGACATTGTTATAGAAAGCCCGAGATGTTAATGTCAGTTTGTCCACCTGACTCTTCATGGCATTTATGATCTTGGGATGGCAGTGTCCTTGGCTGACAGCACCATAAGCACTCAGGAAGTCAAAGTACTGCCTGCCTTCTACATCCCACATGTAAATGCCTAAAATACAGAGAGAAGGAAAAGAATTTACAGTCTCTGTATGCTATAAGACCCCTAAAATAAACTGATTTTTTTAAACCCTCTATACACTACATGATACCCTACTTAATATATTTTTATGCTCAAAACTTGGTTTAGTACAAGCCTACTAAACTCTGATTTAGCAAGAAGTATTAAAGCTATGTTTTATCTGACTCTTAGACATATATTTAGCAGAACAGCATAAAATACTGTAATGCTGTCATGATGTGGGGTGGCACAGGGCAAGGGGTTAGTGATGAATAAGCACATAAAAATATACTCAATAGTGAAAGTGTAAAATCCAACATGTAGCTCCACAGCTTCCATTCCAACTGGCTAGTCAATAGTATAAGTTTACTGAGATATACAGACTCTGGGTCTGGTTAATTTCAGTCAAAGAAAGAAAGAGAGAGAAGAAGGAAAGAAGGAAGGAAGGAAGGAAGGAAGGAAGGAAGGAAGGAAGGAAGGAAGGAAGGAAGGAAGGAAGGAAAAAGAAGGAGAGACAGAGAGAAAAAATGCCTTGGAGGTTAAGAGCTCTTCCAAAGGACCGGGGTTCAACTCCCAGCACCCATATGGCAGCTCATAACTGTCTGTAACTCCAGTTCCAGGTGGCCTGAAACCTTCCCACCAATGCACATAAAATAAAATTATATAAATTATTAAAGAAAGGGAAGGAAGGAAGAATGTAAGTTACACAAAACAGACAAAAGTCTTGTAAAGTAGAAATGACAACTGAGCATATGATGGTGGTATTTGCAAAACATAAGGACTTAGTATCCAGAACTCAGTGATAACAATAAAAACCTCTAGGCATGGTGGCACATACCTGCAATCCCACCACCAAGGGGAAAGAGGCAGGAGGGAGGATCAGGATTTCAAGGCCAGCCTGGACTAAGCAAGACCCTGTTTTTAAATATAGGCAAATAACTTACTAGTGTTTCATTTAAAGAAACACAGATGCTAAACTAATATTAACATGAAAAGATGTACAACTCATGACCAGCCATTAGAAACATGTAAATCAAAACAAGGAGATGCTGTTTCATGCTGGTATGGTTGTATTTTTTTTTTAATGAAAAAAAAAAAAATGGGACAAAGATATAAACAATCTTGTGGAAATGTAAAATGTACAACTGGGGCTGGGTGTGGTGGTGAACACCTGTAATCCCAGTACTTGGGCAGCTGAAGTTGGATGAATACAAGTGAAGGGACCAAGCCATGACAGGCCTGAGTTTCTGTTTCCTGGTAATGTTTCCACAGTTGCTTAGATCATGTTTCTATTTCTCAGAACATGAAACTCAATAAACTCTCTTAAAATCAGAAACAATCCAGTTAGTAACCGCCTTGAAAAGGCCCCAAGCACTTGACCAATCAAATTAAAGGTTAGTTAGAAACCTTTGTTTAGCTGGTCAAAATGATTTTGTCACTTGGGCACTTTCTGTTAGCACTCTTTGTTACCTGGCACACCTTGTTACTTGGACACTCCATGAAGTTCCCCCTATTTCCTAGATCAGCACCAACCCATCAGTTTATGACAAGCTTGTTTCTGCTAAATTCAAACCAATCATGTAACCGCCAAGTTGGAAAAGTCCCATTCCCTGCTCAACCCACAGTAAAAACCCAGCTTTGCAGCTACTCAGGGCTCCCTCCCTAATCCACTGCATTGGACTATGGTGGGGAGCCCAAGCTTAAGCCCAAAATAAAGGCTCTCTGTTCAGGCAGAGAGGCAGACAGGCACCAGGAGTTCACTGGCCAGCCAGGCAAGGCAAATGGTGTGTTTCATGTTCAGAGAGAAATCCTGCCTCATGGGAATGATGCAGAATCTGATCGAGTGAGCCACCTGACTTCCTCAGGACCAGTTGAGACACACAGACAAACGAACAGACATACACGCGCACACAAACTCACACACGTTTCTTCATGTTGTTTGTTTGTTTCTTAAGGTTGGCCATTCCTCTTCAAACTAAACATACAGTTACTACATGACCCAGCAATTCTATTCCAGAGAAAAATTTACGAAACACTGGCTTATGACCAGGCTGAAATAAGTCAGTTAGGAAGAGTGTTACAATAAATACTGGCCTGGGGAAGAAGGAAGAGGAGGAAGAAGAGAAGGAAAAGGAGAGGAAGAAGAGGAAGAGAAAGAGAAGGAGTAGCACTACCACTATTGATCAACAGATAACAGAACCCAACAAGAATGAGATTCCTGGTCTAAAGTTTCTTTTGTAATTCAGGACACAAAAGAAAGCTGAATTCCTGCTGTGTTTTTGTTAACTACCCAATCTGATAATTGTGCACATAAAAGATAAGTTCCTGAGCTGGGAGCACAGCCAGGTGGAAGGCCAGCCTGACCTACAGAATGAGTTCCAGGGCAGCCAGGACTCCACAGAGAAACCCTATCTCAAACCCTCACCCTCACCTCAAAAAATAGAAAATGACAGAGTTCCCATAGACTGTTAGAAAATACACACTGAATATCTAGAGGTAAAGAACTAGAAAACAGGGTGTACATGGGGCCAGGAGGGGAGGAGAGAACACAGCTAAAAGCCCTTGGTTATCCAGATGAAGAGGAAAGAAACATTTTAATAATTATAACTTTCTTACTAGAGTTATGTAAAAATAAAAACTAATACTTAAAAAAAAAACTGGTTGCCAAGTCACATTCCTATTTCCTCTGCATTTCCCCTCACTAAGGCCACCAGGGAAGACTGACAGGCACAGGTACCTTAGTCACTTAGCAAAGATCAAAGAAGCCCTATCTGCAACAGACATTCAATGAGGCTTGGACATGAGAAAATACAAAGCAACTAATTCTTCTAACACATTTCAAGCAAATGTGGGGTGGATTAACCCAAAACATACCTTTTCCTCTCTCCAGGGCTACAGGTAAAGGGTGGTAATTGTGTGCACCATACTTAGATTCTCGTTCAAAAATGTACTCAGAGGATGGCGGGCCTTGCACGGTCTTCTTAGTTGCAACAGATGCAGCAGAGGTAGCTGAGGCATGAACTCCTCGCCGCAGAGCAGCAACGGTCTGCAAACTTGCTAGTTTGGAAAGCATTGTATATAGTTCTTTCAGGAATGGAAGGGTAGAACCTGTGTAAAGTAATGAGAAGGCACTGAGTGAGAACCTTTCCAGGGACAACTCATGTGTGCTCAGATATAACTGCCGAGCATCCAGGCAGTTAGTACCCAGCCTTATCTTATCAGAAAGTGCAGAGTTCAGGGCAGATATCAGAGGCAGGGAGCCAAGTAAGAGGCCAGAGCTGCTTGCTGGGTGGTCATGGGATAAGAAGCAGGGGCTACGAACCATTCTGCACTTTTTAAAGCCCAGGCTGATCTTTAACTCTGGGTTCAAAGGACCCTATGGAGCTGAGACCACAAGCAGCACTTGCCTCAACCTCTCTCAGCCGCACTCCCCGCCGCAGGATCCCTACCTCTATTTCCTATTTTATGTAGGTAGGGAAACAATAACAAATGTGGTTTTAACCTAGGTGAAGTAATCCCAGCATTTAGAAGGCAGAGGCAAAATGATCAATACAAGTTCCAGGCTAGCCTGGCCTATTAAGTTCCAAACCAGCCTCGGCTACAAGTAGCCTGTCTCTAAATAGAAAGAGCAAGGCGGGGGAGGGGAGCTAGCTAGAGAGATGGCTTGGCGATTAAAAGGACTGCTGCTCTTTAGCAAAAGACCTGGGTTCAGATGTCAGTGTCCACATGATGGCTCACAACTGTTTATAATTAAAGGGGATCCAAGACCCTCTGACCTCTGCAGGCACCAGGGACCCACATAGTACCCATACACATTCAAACATTTGTTTTGTTTTTCAAGACAGGGTTTCTATGTGTAATAGTCCTGGTTGTCCTAGAACTCACTTTATAGAGGCTGGCCTCGAACTCACAGAGATCGACCTGCCTCTCTCTGCCTCCCAAATGCTGGGATTAAGGCATATGCCACCATCCCTGGATTTGTTGTTGTTGTTGTTGTTGTTGTTGTTTTAGGAGGTTTTTTTCTTTTCTTTTCTTTTTTTCCATTTTTCGATGACAGAGTTTCTCTGTGTAGCCTTGGCTGTCCTGAACTCCCTTTGTAAACCAGGCTGGCCTCTAACTCAAAGTGATTCGCCTACCTCTGCCTCCCTGAGTGCTGGGATTAAAGGAGAGCACCACCATGCTTGGCTGCAGGCAAACATTTAATACATATAAAATAAAAATAAATAAATCTTTAAAAAAAATAGAGACAGGAAAAAGTAATTTTTGCAGGCTGGAAAGCTTAGCATCCAAACCAAAGAAAAACCTGTTATTTAGCACAAATATCTAAAATGTCTACAGGTCAGACTTTGCATTAACAAAAGCAAAAGGACTTGGTCTACACTTTAATTAGAGTCTTGAGTTCTTACAATAACACAAATATAGATAGATATGTATCAGATGAAAATAGGCAGCTCATAAAGAATCTGTTTTGCTTGGATGACTGTTCCTATAATCACAGCCACCCCCTACACAAAACATAGTAAAAAGAAGTATCAAAAAAAAAAAAAAAAAATCAACTGTTCAGCCAGGCATGGTGGGGCACATGTAATCCCAGCACTTTGGAAGGCAGAGGCAGGTGAGCCAACGTAGTCTACAAAGCGAGTCCAGGACAGCCAAGGCTAAACAGAGAAACCCTGTCTTGAAAAAAACAGAAAAAAAAAAAAAAAAAAATGAACTGTTCAGCCTGGTGTGATGAGACAGCCTTTAATCCCAGCATTCAGGAGGTAGAGGCCCAAGGATCTCTGTGAGTTCAAAGCCACCCTGGTCTACAAAGCATAGACCTAATAACCCTGAGTCCAAAACAGCCAAGGGACCCTCGCAAACAAAACAAACTAAAAAAAAGTCAGCTATTCAAAGTAAAAAGCAATTAAGCCAAGAGAATATCAAAGCACAAACAGCTAAATTAGTTGTATGACTGTCCTGAGGACACTGGTGCTCACTCACAGCGTTTACATTTTTAAGAATCAGGCTACTCTCTCTGCACCAGACCTACAACCAGCCCACAACAGTGTTCCTCCAACCTCTGTGTGCACAGTTCACCATTCAGAGCATGGTAAAATGCTGAAACAGGCTAAAGTAAGAAAGGCACTACAATGAAAAGAAAAATAAGAGCATGCATAGGTATCACGTCTGAAAGCAGAGAGGGAAAGCATTTTAAGATAAATTCTAGATTAGGGTAAAGTTACCAAAAGCCAGGTGTGTTTGGGATGTCTCTATCTCCCTATTTTTTTTTTTTAAGACAAATAGCTAATTCATGTTTCAACAGAATTCTCTAACAAGTCAAACCATGCCTAATCTTAGCATTCTTGATTGAGCTGCCAAATCAGCCAGTCTTGGGACTTGGCTAACTTCCCTTTCACCTTGGCTCTCACTCTACACTAAAAATCCAGTAGGCTCAGGAATTTGCAAACTAATCAAATCCCAGAACTCTGTCTTGTTTGCCAAAACTTGCCACTATTCTTTCTTCCCACGGCTCAGACCAGAGTACAGATTTAAAACTCAATATCTAGGGACTGTCTTGAGAAGGTCCCAATGATTCCTTAAAAAAAAAAAAAAAATTATATACAAAGGTACATTCCCCTAATAAAAATGTCTGTAATTTCCACAGTATTTTCTCTCAAATGAACAAACACAAAGCAAGAATCACTAGACTGGAAATGAAGACTAACAACATGTCTAACTGCACTACAAAGAACCAGTCTCCATCACCATCAATAAGCCTAAGACACCAACTTACCATTTCTCTCTAGGCTCTTTACAATCTACACAGTAAATCCTGTTTGAACTACTAAAACTTAAAGTGATACTAATTTCTGCCAAGCAAATAAGAATAAAACATGCTTTCTCAGATACTACTAGTGGATGCACTTAGATACACAAGCAAAACACTCATATACACATAAAAAGACATAAATCAGCCATGTAGTGGTGGCCCGCGCCTTTAATCCCAGCACTGGGGAGGCAGAGGCAGGCTCTGTGAGTCTACAGAGTGAGTTCAAGGCCAGCTAAAGCTACACAGAGAAGCCCTGTCTCGAAAAACCCTAGATAGACAGACAGACAGACAAATCTTTAAAATAAATTTCTATTGGCATGGCAAGGTGTTTTAGAACATGTTTAAGTAAGAACTATTAGGGGAAACTGTAAAGGGAAGAAACACAAAAGTCACTGTGGCTATATTTAACTATTCTCTACTTTCTACAATGACCATAAATTGTATTTATGGTCAGAAACACTGAGAATGAACTTGGACATGGGTCTGAGTAGTTTGACATATACCAGGCAACAAGCAAAATCAAATTAAAGGATCTGGTTAGCTTTGAGAAGACAATGTGGTTTAAAGAAAAGTACAGTCAGTACTCCTCCTAGGTAGTACAGCCTTGAGTCCACCAGGTCACCTGTTCTTAGGAAAAGGTTCAAACTTTAAAATAAAAAACTACTCTTTGTGACTGCAGAAGGGGGCTGAGGGACTGTAATCCCAGAACTAAGGGTGGGGCTGAGGCAAGAGGATTTCCAGCCCAAAGCTAAACTCAAAACAAAATAAAGACTGCAAGGGGAAAGAAACTATAAGATTACCTAAACTCAACTTATCTTAATTTATACAAGAATTACCTGCTCAACTAGAATCTATTTATCTGCTAGGTCCCCTCAATTTTATATAAAATGATTATAATCAGTAGCCTACCAGAAACATTCAAAACATGAGCAATAGTCTCACGTTCTCCAAGTAGATGTCTGGATGTTTAACTTAACTCGGAAAGGTCACAAGCTGCACAGACCATCATGTACCAAAATCTAGTACAAACATTTCTACAAAAGAGCCTCTGTGTTCAAGTTACTGAGCTTGGTACTGTATGAGAAATATTAGATTAAATTAAAGTAGGCTTTAAAATAGTCATCTCTTTCAAAGAGGCTTGGGAAATGGTAAAAGTGGGGGTAGAGAATCCACAGGTTTCACAATAAGGATTTAAATTCTGTCTGTGGAATTTTCCCCATTTGTCAAATGAGAGTGAAGCCATTCCCGGGTGTCTTGAGTTCATGTTAAAGCCCCAGGTTTAGCACAAAGGAGCCATTCATTAGGTTCTCTTCCGCTCGAGGTTCACAAGAACACTAGCCAAGTTCTACAACTTAAAAAAAAAACACTGTCAGGGTTTCGTTTTCAAACTGGATTATTTTTCTTTAAAACAATAAAAATGAAACCCTCTGGGGCTGAGGATCAGTTGGAAGAGTACTTGCCTAACATGTAGGAAGCCTTGGATTACATCTCCAGCACCAAAGAAACTGGAGAAGCAGAGGCAGGGAGATCAGGAGACATCAGGAAGATCATCCTCGGAGACACAAGGAGTTTGAGGTGGTCAGTGCTGGCACTCGCCATTAACTCAAGCACTTGGGAGGCAGAGTCAGATGGATCTCTGTGAGTGTAAGGCCAGCCTGGTCTACATAGTGAGTTCCAGACCAGCCAGGGCTACACAGTGAGACCCTGCCTTAAAATTAAAAAAATAAAAAATAGAAATCAGACAAGAAAATTAAATACTTTCGAGATTGCCATTAACTACCGATTTTCTTCTATACATAAATACTATTCAGACAGTATTTTTTTCCACCTTCTCCCTTTGAATTTACTATGCAAGTCCCTCCTGAACACGTTCAGAACTTTGCAGACTTTTATTAGAACCTAACAATTCAGACACTTATTTTCAAGCAATCCTCATGGTGAACTCAAGTTTGTAAAAAGGAGTAACCAACCATGTCTCAAAAATCACCTAGCCTGAGTAAGGGTCTTCTCCTAACAAGTAAACAAGGTCCTTACTGCACACACAACTCCTAAAGGAGGAAAGAGAGAAACAGAAAATGACCCAGACTAGCCAGGTGATGAGGCCGCCCATCCTGCACAAAGGTAAGTCAACTCTGAGAAGCTGCCTCTCTGTCCTCATCTTTTCAAGGGTTCACTCTCAAACCTAATACCATTCATTCTACCAAAATCAAAAGGTGCGGTACCACTCACATGTAATCCCAGCACTCGGTGGGCAGAGGCAAGTGGTATCTGTGAGTCAGCCTGGTCTACAAAGCAGTCCAAGACAGCCAAGACTACACAGAGAAACCCTGTCTTGGAAAAACAAGCAAACAAACCCCACATTATTTATTTATCATTTATATTTACTATTTATCACATTATTTATTCTGTAAATGATTTATATTTATTATGTATATGAGTCTTCTGTTTTCATTCACACCAGAAGAGGGAATCAGACACCATTACAAATGGTGTGAGCCACCATGTGTTTGCTGGGAATTGAACTCAGCACCTCTGGAAGAGCAGCCAGTGCTGAGTGCTGAGTTCTGAGCTGAGCCATCTCTCCAGCTCCTTATCATATTATTTACATACTATTCATATTTAGCAGAATAAGGGCTTAAGCATGAGAACTAATGACAGGCCTAATGTTTAATTTCAGGCCATCATTACTCCCTTCCTTATCAGTCCACAGGAATATTCTAACAAGGGTTGCATTTTCCACTAAGGGCTGCATTTGGAATAATTTGTTTAGTCTGACTTATTAAACAACATTTTCTTAAATTACTCTAAAAGAATCATCACTGTAAAGTCATCCAAAAGCCATTGAAAATATTCAGCTTGAGAAGTAAATTTGGTTTGACTATAGTCAAATATTTACTTTCCTGAGGTAACCATTCACAAATACAGGCCTTATTTTTTTGAAGTTCTGCCAACAAAAGCTTTGTTTTACGTAACCAATATTCTGGCTAAAATTCACCTCAAGTGCGTCACAGGCAAACAACTAACATAATACTACTTGAAAAGGATTGGATCAACTCCACCGCACCCTCCACACACCTCCAAATCACTGCCCATTCATTATTATTCTTTAAAAGTATGGAGTTTGGCTCATCCTCATGAACTCAGCAAAGAGCATAAAATACACACCCAAATAGACATTATAAAAGGAAGGAAAATATATGAGATTGGGGGGGGGGGGAAATACCTTTAAAAGATTATATACTAGTTAAGGTTTTAGGAGCGGCTCAGCACGTAAGATCACCTACTATTCTTGCAGAAGAACAGAGTTTGGTTCCCAACATCCACAAGTGGCACAACTACCGAAAACTCTTGCTTGACGTTGGACCTCTATGGCCTCAGAGGGCACCTGCATTTATGTGCACATGCCCACAAACACACACACATTTAAAAAAAAAAAAAAAATCTAAAGTACAGTTCCAGGAGACTCTCTGACAATCCTGACTGGGGAAATTTAGGATGGAGAAATACGAGGTTACTCAGTTGGCAAAGCCACTTCATTCCAAAGTCACTCCCCCTCACTTAATCTATCTTGACACATCTACAGGGTAAATGCGCTCCCGGGCACGATGAAGGCCTGAGGCAAGGCTTGCTGGCAGCAACAGTCCCTGGCAAATTAGACTGGAATTTACTGAGGTTCAGCAGCGTTTGCTGAAGGCCTACGGAGGGGGGGTCTTCGTGCCGAGAGCCCTGAGGGCCAATCCCGAGCCACCTTCTCGTTATAACCTGCACGTCACTTCCTCGATCCTCTCACTCGGTTTAGGGCTGGAGAGAAGGTTGGGGAGTGAGGAGGGATGGCAGGATCAGCTTCTGGACAAGGAAGCTGCCCGAGGCACTCAGACTTGGTCCACATCAGCGCCCCCTCCCGGTGACCAGGCCACGCGTCCGTAGCTCCGGCCTCAGGGGATCGGATCCCCGGCTGCCGGGCTGCTCGAGGTTCCGCGCGCTCTCAACGCCGCCTTCTCGAAAGCCGAGGTCCCCGAAGCCCTAGGCGAGTCCCCCCCGGGGGCGGCAAGCCCGAGCGCTGCCTGGCAGGCGGCCGTGCCACAGCTCCGGCCTCCCGTTCCCTGCCCGGCCTCTCGTCGAGCCCGCCCTGCCCCTGGGATGCGCCGCGCCTGAGACCGGTACAGGCCGGCACAGCCCCAGTTGAGACTCCCGATCGCCGACCCCGTCCGGGCCGCTTCGGCCCAGCCCGGGGCGAGGGCACGGTACCTGACAGCGTCCGCTAAGAACCGCACGGCGTACTCCGGCCACGAAGACAGAAGTGACCGCCCGGCGCGTCACGCCGTTTAAGACGACGTGTCTGCCCTGCCCCCGCCCACCCTCGCAGCTCATTGGCGGGGGCGGAGGGCCGCACACCAATCACGCAAGGCTCGCCCTCGCCCCACCCACCCGGCCTTGAGCCACGGGGCGCCGAGCCCCGCTGCCTTCCCGAAGTGTACTGGTCCTCATCTGTGGCCGCCGCTCTGTGGCCGCCGCTCCTGATTTCTGGACTGGACTCAGGAGCAGTCCGCTTTCTTTTACAGGAAAGGAAACAGAGACCCGAAGGAATGCTGGCCTCTCACTGAGTTTTCCTAGCCGAGGGACCCCCCAAAGCCTTTCCTCGAGGAGAGACTCTTGCGAGCAACATCATCTTTTAAATGCTGAAACCATATGACCTTGAACCCTCAGCGTGCCAAAACGACAAAACAGCTTACTGGTGCTTCTAGAGTGATCTCTGCAGCTGTAAAACACTAGTACCTGTTGTTATTAGTGGTTGGAAATGACAGCTACACTGTACAGACTTGTCTGCACTCCCTCCATCACCGTGGTTAAAACTCAAACCCCAGAAAAGATATATTGCAGGATAAACTGAACAGAGGGTGTTTAGGTGTCATATTGTCTGTAACACTCGTTATAAGTCAGAAAGCATGCAGAGAATAGAAGAGTTATCCAATCCTGTGCCACAAGCTGCAGGCCACAGACGACCAGTGATTCACTGCCCTACAATGATGCATCAGGGTCAGCCAGAAAGATTTCACACCCCAGTTTGGAATGAGTGTGTGTGGCTGAAACCACAAAGTTGGAGGGACTAGAGCATCAGGGAGAGCCATTATCAGTCTAGGTATCCAGGGCTAGAAGTGGAGTTTCCAGAACCCAAAGAGAGGAGTTTGAGGAGACACTACTTGGAGCCAGTTGGGTACTAAGCATTGGCTCTCCCTCCTGCCAGAGTTCCTCATGGACTGAAGCCACTAAGATACCAGAAGTCTAAGGAGTCTGTTAAAACAGGCGGTGGTGGCACATACCTTTAGTCCTAGCACTCTGGAGGCAGAGGCAGTCGGCACTAAGAGTTCAAGGCCTACAGAGGGAGTTCCAGGACAGCCAAAACTGCACAAGAAAAACCCTGTCTCAAAAACGTAAATAAACAAACAAAAAGACAGCCCCTACAGACCAGCCTCCCTAGACACATAGGAAGACCTGAAAGAGGAGGAAAAAGAAACAGGATGGGAAAGAGGTGGAGAAATGGTTCAGTAGGTAAAGTGACTGTTGAGCAAACATAAAGAGACCAGAGACAGATCCCCAGGGCCTGCATAAACGCTGGGTGGGCAACAGGGAAAGTCTTAGCTGACCTGACCAGTAGGGGCAGGGAAGTAGTGTGGGCTCAGAGACAGAGCTGTGAAGATTCCACGTCTGCAAAAAGCACAGAGCAGGCCTTGGAAGGGATTTAGGCTCACCCTGTCTTTGGCCAAGAACATTTGCCCAGATGATTACTATAATGATCATTATACTCTAGGGCCTATTATGATCATAACTGTCTTCATTCCTTTCACACCACCTACTTCAGTATCATCGACCTGGGGTCAGAAAGGAACTGCTTCTTTATGATGCTGCTCTGCAAACCTGGACAAGGGCATGAAGCAGAGCCCAGGAATCTTGTTATATCTTGGCAAGCAGCAGCAGATGAGCTAAGTGTAACATCAAGACATGTGGCAATCCTCCTGGACTCACAGAAACAGTGCTCTTTGATGAAAAGGTTTTCATAAGCATAAAACTTCTGAGAACGTCTGGGTTTTATCTCTTCTCACTTATCAGAGAAACGCTCTGGGTACAAAGAGCATGATAATAATTTATGGTTTCCCTCCTATCGGTTTGGTTTTGTTTTGTTTTTTTTTCCGTCACTAATTGTAGCCAAGAAGGAACAACCTGCACCTTGAAGTTGCCTTTTCTCACTGAGAAACAGAGCTGCTCTGATTGTATTTTCCCAATCTAAAGACAGAGCACACACAGCAGGTATTACTGAGTCTCTAACTCCACTAACAGATTCAAGCAAGTGATTCTACAGGAACCATAAAACCTAGTGAGAAAGAACCCTCTGCTCACAGAGACCAAAGCGGCAGTCATGGAGCCTGCATGGGTCTGCATGTATGTTATAGTTGTTAGCTTGGTGTTCTTGTGGGACTCCCAACAGTGGGAGTGGGGGTGTCTCTGACTCGTTTGTCTTTTCTTGAGACCCTTTTTTTCCTACCAACCAACCTTGATATGAGGGTTTGCGCCTGGTTTTATCTTCTTATGCCATATTCTGTGGATATTTCTGAGAGGCCTGCTCTTCTCAAAAGGGAAATGGAAGAGGAGTGGCTGGGAGGGAGGGGAACTGGCATGGATTAGGAAATGGGAGGAAAGGAGAGAGGGAAAACTGTGGTCAGGGTGTATTGAAAACAAAACAAAATACATATGCACGTATGCACATAATTTTAAAATAATAAAAATAAATACTTTTTGAAAGACAAAAAATGGTGAAAGAATATGTTATGAAGGCTTCTCCCCACCCCAATACTTCCCTGTCCACCTTATTACCTGTTAATAATATAGGCTACATCGATTTGGACTTCAAACTTTTGTGTTTATTTGTTTTTGTTTCTACGAGACAGGGTTTCTCTGTGTAGCCTTGGCTATCCTGCACTCATTTTATAGACCAGGCTGGCCTCGAAGTCACAGAAATCTGCCTTCCTCTGCTTCCCTGGGTACGGGTTTATAAGCATGCTCCACCATGGCCTACCGGGCTTCACATTTTTAATCATTTGAAAAATCCACACTCATTCCAAGGAAATAGTCTGAGAAGAAATCTCAGGAAATATCAGTGACAAAAAAAAAA